TGGGCATCAATTCGATTGGGACAATGTTCAAATATCAGACAGAGGAAACAACAAGAACACCAGAGAATCTTTTTAGAAGTCTGGTATTCTAGTGAATCATCAATCAATTGACACATCGAGAGTGACAAAATTTATCAACCGATAAGAAAGAAACCTCACACACAAAGGGTCAAAGTTCAAGTCAAAGAAACAATCAGTTCCAATACAAGTAGTCACCTAGAGGATGTGAAAACACACAAAAACAACTAAAGAGTCACGTCCAAGGTCACCCACCAGGAGAGATGATTAATAAACTCGTGGAGAAATCTGAAAGCTCACTTCAATTCAAATTGAAGTATGCGCTGAAAATGTCATCACCTAGTAGGGTGATGAAAGCTTCGCAAATTAACTATCTAGCTCAGAGAACAAAACCACATCAAAATATTGACACTTATTTGGATGTGTCAGCTAACTTTGGAATTACTTTCGCCTTTTCTTCTGGGCAATAAATCATTATTTACAACTTTTGCATATTACCTCTTGACTTAATCCTTATTATTACTTGTCTTTGTTCCTGCCTAATCTCTGATTTCATTGCTTCTCTTTGTGGTTTTGTGGTGACATTGATCATGTGTTGTTTTGACGACTATGGTTCTTTGTTTGAGTGAGTCAAAGTCATTCTGACCTTGGATTGTTTGAGGGAATTGTTGGTGTGTTTGATTCTTGCTGGGAACATTTCACTTGGTTCTAAGCATTTATTTTGTACGACAAGTTTATCTGACCTACCCGTATGGCTAGCTGTTTAACAGCATTGTGGAGGTAATTTTGAGTTTTCGATGTTATTATTATTGGTGAATGTAAACAACACAAGTTTTAACGGTGAATAACCGTCTTTTATCTGTCTTCGGAGTGTTGGTATGACTGTGTATGTATCTTAAGGAAGTTTTGGTCAGCTATACAGTCAGCAGATATGCTGACTCCATTATTGCAAAAGGTCTGGAAGGAGGGAAAGGTTACCTCGTGAAACTACCAAAGAAGGGCGACCTAGGACTCTACAAGAACTGGCGAGGAATCATGCTCCTGTCGATGCCAAGTGAAATCCTGAGTCCCATCAACCTGAAGAGAATAAACGACGCACTGGATATGGAACTCCTACTAAAACAAGCTGGATTCAGGGAAGGCAAATCATGTTCTGACCAATTTGCGACTCTACGCATCATCATCACAGAACAAAGCATGGAATGGCAATCAAACCTCTACCTCAACTTTATATACTATGAGAAGGCCTTCGACAGCGTTGACCACGAAGTAATTTGGAAACTACTCGAGTACTATGGTGTACCCCAAATATTCATCAACCTTATTCAACAGCTGTATGAAGAATCTAGAAGACCTGGATTTCGCGGATGATTCATGTTTGATGTCACACAAAATCGAAGACTTACAAGCGAAAACCAAGAAACTGGTCGAAGAAGCAGCCGGTGAAGACAGGACTCCAGGTGAACATAGACAAGACGGAGGTTATCAAAATAACCAACCAACCAACCAACAACAACAACAACACCAGCAACATCCACCAACAATCACCATCAACGGGAGGGATTTGAAAGAGGTTACTTCATTCACTTACCTAGGGAGCATAGTCTCAACCACAGGAGGAATGGAAGAGGATGTCAAATCGAGAATCGGGAAGGCGAAAAACACATTCATCAACCTGAAACCAACCAATCTGGAAATCTTCGTCACTCAACTCAGCATGAACAACAAAATGATTCGGATTTTCAATACAAACGTCAAGTCAGTCAGTTCTTATATACGGATGGATCAGAAAGTTGGCCAGTGTGTCACAAAGAATATTTCCAACAGCCTGTTGCAGACCTTTATCAACAACTGTCTTCGCTGGCTCTATACTGAAGATCAGATGGCCGCCGGAAAGAATCACCAACAAGAAACTATGGGGACAAACAAAACAAGAATCAATCGCTCAAAAAATATGCAGGAGAATGTGGAGATGGATTGGACACTCTCTGAGAAGGCCGTTGGGTGACATCGCGCGTCAGGCCAGTGCTCGAGTGGAACCCGAAAGGGAAGCGGCGAGTGGGACGTCCAAGGTTAACATGAAGGAGATCTTGTGAAGAAGAGTTGAAACAGTATGGACTAACATGGATGCAAGTGAAAAGTACAGCAGAAGACAGAAGCAAGTGGAGACGTGCAGTTGAAGCCCCATGTTCCACTAGGAACCCAAGGGTACAATAATAATAATAATTCAGTATGACATGAAGATCAGTTTCCTGTATTCAGACTAAAACATTTGGCCGGATTTGGTCGTTACAGTCACTATTGACTTGACTTCAATTAAAAGCATGCAAAGTGGGAGTTTGACACTTTTTCTTGATGTAGTAGAGTGCATGGAAATTGAGATCCTGGCTAGTTCTAATCAATTCAAAATTTATGACATGTCATAGTGATGTTATTTGATAACTGATGGCGAGCAGTGGAAACCAGGATATAGGCATTTCATCTTATTTAGGAGAAACTAGTCAGCAAGGTGTACCTGCAATCCCTAATGAGTCAGTGTTACTGTTTTTCAAACATCCCAAACAGGATAAAATGTGTATCCTGAATTGTACCCCACTAGTCACCATGAACCAGTATAATGTTGTGTTCAGCCTCAGATATCGTCGCAGCGTCTGTACACTAGAAGCTGACGTGTCAGCACAAGAGTTGAACATTTCCGTCCAATCACTCAACGAACAGAACCAGATTTGGATCAAACAGAATATCATAATGATGTTTATCAGTCAAACGGCGGGTGATTTTCCTTCGCTGCCGAACTCCAGGTAACCTTCTCTACGGAATCAGTGATTCGCATGAACACCGTGAAGGATGAGCTACTACTGTTAGCTGGCCTTATCAATGTGTACCTGCTAATTCACCTTCTCATGTGGAGCTAGATATGTCGGCCGTATCCAGCGTCTTCTATTCAAACGTATCATTGATATCTTACTAACAGTCATGGCTTTATTATTATTATTGTATCCTTTAATTCCTAGAGGAACATAGGGCTTCAGCCGTGCGTCTACATTGAGTTCGGTTCTCTGCTAGAGTCTTCACCTGGCTACAAGTCTGCCCACACGTTTTCATCTCCTCTTCACATGACCTGCTCCAAGTCATCCTTGCACTGACGACCAACTAGCCGCTTCCCTTTCGGCCGGGTTCCACTCGAGCAATGGCTTGTCTAGTGATGTCACTTGATGGTTTCCTCAGAGTATGGCCAGGCAATCCATCTCCATTTCTTCCTGCCTATTTGTTTCACAATCGGTTCCTGGTTGGTTCGCTCATTGCCAGAGATCTCTGTTTCTGATCTTTTCTGGCCATGTGATCTTGAGTATTGAGCGAAGACAACTGTTAATGAAGGTCTGTAGTTTGTTTGAGATGCTCTTTATGACGCGCAGTGCAAGTCTCTGATCCGTATAGTAAGTGGCACTGACTTCACATTGGAGTTAAAAATCCGGATCTTATTTTTGATGTTGAGTGCTGTCGACCTCCAAATGACTTGAGAGTAATGAAAACTTGTTTTGCTTTTCCGATTCTTGCTTTGATATCCTCGTCAGTTCCGCCTGTAGTTGAAACGATGCTTCCCAGTCATGGCTTTATAGAGGAGAAAGAAGATGCCCCCCAACCACAGCTGTATTCTGGAACATCTGATCGAATCTGGACACCAAGCGGGAAAACCCACAAAGGAACTTCAAAGTTATCCACAGGATAAGTGTGAATGTTGCTAAGAGAGGAGCACGAATCAAACTTCTTCAAACCACGCAGAAGCAATGGCAATTCACATGTTCAAACCTGAATTCTGCATTAAATTTTCATTGGACCTGATGCATCTTAACACCAAATGCGTAATTTTTGTTTCGTCTTTTTTTACCTGTTTGTTTCTTAATTGTAACAAATATGGTAATACATATTGGATAGGTGGTGACACTAAAATCGATATATTTGATAGATCCCTGTTACTCAATAGCCGTCACGAAACCTGAAGACTGTGGGTTCGATCCCTGTTTCTGGGGTCATAGTTGTTCAGTAATAGTAGTGGTACTATCGAAGAGTTCCTAGGTGGATTTAAACGGCCGCTACTCACTGGACTTTCAATAATTCTCTAAGCCGAAATCAAATTAATTAGGACTTTTAAAATTAAACATTTTGATGTTCCGGTTGTTTAATCGATAATTGATTAATTTCTTAGCTCATGCGGGTTATTTTGCCTTGAATCGGTTGGTTTCAAGATTAATCATGAACCGACTGATATCGCTTAGCGAACCACTTGGGATAACCAAGAAGTTCTAGACCAAAGTGTTTCCTCCTTGTTTGGAACTTTTCACGTGTGACCCTATTCACAGCTGAGGATCGAACTCAGTACTTACAGGTTACAAGGCGAGGTCGTTAACAGTGCAGCCACTGGGAAAGAATTAAACGACCAGTTCATGAATTCTAACTTGTGTTAATGGACGATATATGTAATGCGACTGCCAGCCAATGTCATCAGGAAGTACTTATTTTAACACCTGACTTATGGGGGACCATCTATTTACGAATTCCCACTAGGCAAAACTTTAGGCAGCTTCAGTCTGTAGCCAATCATTAGTGAGCAATAGATTAATTGTGAAAGCTTTACTCTGGGAATGAAAATCTGAATCGCAGTAGAATTTGAATCGTCCGCCTCCTGATTATCAGCTTCAGGGTATTCTACTTGATGAGCTACGGAACTCATCTGTTCACCAAGTCGTCGTGTTACTGAGTTCACCATCAATCGCATAACTGAACAAGTGACTGAATGGATGAAATATAACTGTTCCTTTATCACCGCACTAGCTCCGTCCAGCTAGATGAGCAGTTAGGTATTGTCTATAAGGATAATATGAAAGCTTCACATTTGAGCTCATAGAATACAACAAAATCACCAGAATGATCCCCCCCACTGTGACCTCTTCTTTTAGCATAACACAATTAAAACTACTTACCAGATTCATCTGAATAAACTGTCAGTGTGGCACTACTTTCAGCTTGTCCAAGAGCATTTGTAGCTGTACATGTGATAATAGCCCCATTATGCGATGGTAGAGCATTGCTTACACGCAGCACTGAACCACGTGGTGCACGAAATGTTTTGCCTAGTCTTGATTCAGAGACTGAGGTACCAGACACCTGAAACCAAACAACCAGAAAATTTATAAAAATAACAATCAATCAATAAATAAGAGGATTAATCAATAAAAGGTTTTTTACTCTCTATGCGACATGGTAACGGTCATAAATGGCGTCGGTGATTCAAAGACAGAGTGTTCGCCGACCACGTGAGAAACCTACAACTGATTCCCGGATGATGGATACACTCCTAGCTTGTTCATTCGTTCCTTTGTGTTCCAAGTTGAATACACAGGACTTCAAGCTTAAGCTTCGAAGTTTCTGTAGGAGCAGTGTTCTGTCTACCTCACGCCAAACCTTCCGTCATCTCCTGGCCTACTTCGGGATAAAAGGATGTTGAGGAGACCGTCCCTCGGCCGAGAATCGAACCGTTCACCATTTGTGGTACTAGTTAAGACATATCTATATACAAGACAGATATATCAACTTATTCGGAGTCTTTGAAATTCATATCACTAGGTTCAGTGAGTAGTAGTCAAGCTGCAGGAGAATTACTTACATGGGGATTACTCATGAAATTTCCCTAAAAGATGTCTTTCGATCTGAAACTGGTACTTTTAAAAAACATTTGAGCGATCAAGCGAGTGATCGAGTGAGATAGAGAGATGATGTCTTAACTAATGTGCCAATAACAATAATAATAATAATTTTAATCAATAAAAGTATTATAGAAACTGGTTATCCAGTAACATGGGCCAAGTAGTGGGCCTCTATTAACTCGGTGAAATCTGATTGGTTGTTTTTATTGGGTTAAAGCGTATAAAAAATCAATATTTTAAAAGGCTGATTACTAGTAGTGAACAAAGACCATCATTTTTTTCGTGAACTGCTTCTTCATCAAGTTTTACAGTTATATTTCCATAATTAAGGTGCTTTTTGGTTAACCCCACCCTGTAAACAAACCTGCTACAGAAACTTCAGCGTGAACAGTCTCCTTGCGTCAAAAGAAAAAGTCTGTGTGGGGACATGGAATGTCCGCACCATGTACGAGACTAGCAAAGCTGCCCAGATCGCAAGCGAAATGAGGAGATACGGACTACAAGTATTGGGGATCTGCGAAAGCAGATGGAACGGATACGGACTCACCAAATTGTCAACAGGTGAGTCAGTGATTTACTCCGGTCACCCAGAAGACAACCACACACACACCGAGGGCGTGGCTATAATGATGTCACCAACGGCAACCAAGGCTCTGATACAATGGGAGGCGATCTCACCCAGGATAATAACCGCCAGATTCAACTCCAAAGGAAGGAAAGTGTCAATTATACAATGCTATGCACCGACCAACAACGCAGACCTCGAAAAGAAAGAAGAATTCTACAGACAACTGCAGGCAGCAATAGACAATACTCCAGCCGGTGACATCAAAATACTAATGGGAGACATGAACGCCAAACTGGGATCAGACAACACAGGAAGGGAACTCATCATGGGTAAAGAAGCTCTGGGAGAGATGAATGAAAATGGAGAACTCTTCGCCGACTTCTGCGCCTTCAATGAACTAGTGATTGGTGGCAGCGTATACAAACACAAGGATATTCACAAGGCTACATGGGTGTCACCAGATGGGCGAACCAAAAACCAAATTGACTTCATCACAATCTCGAGGAAGTGGCGGCGCAGCCTACTGGACACAAAAGCAAGAAGAGGAGCAGACGTTGGCTCAGACCACTACCTCGTACAAGGAACAATCCAACTCAAATTAAAGGCTTTCAGAGAAACAGGAGCTGCAGATAGACCACAAGCCAAGTTCAACACTCAAAAACTAAAGGACCAGGATACAAAGGATATCTTTACTGCAAGTATAAAGGACAAAGCTGAGACACAAATCAACATTAGTGAAGAGGTTAGCGTCGAAAAACACTGGAACAACCTGAAAACAGTATGGAGCGAAACCTGCATGGAAGTTCTGGGCAGAAAGAAGAGACAGGACAAACCGTGGCTCACTATGGACACTTGGAGGCTAATAGAGGAGAGAAGGATGGTGAAACAAAAAATTCTGCAGTGCACCGACGAGCAACAGAAACAGGAGTTGAATGTAAGCTACAATACACTGAACAAAGGAGTAAAGAAGAGTGCCAGAGAAGACAAAAGAAAGTATTATGAAGCCATGGCCAATGAAGCAGAACAAGCTGCAGGCAAAGGAGACCTCGCAACACTTCACCAAACAACTAGGTACCTTTCAGGCAAAAATTCGTCACAAATTAAGCCAGTGAAGGATGAAAATGGAAAGTCAATCACCAAAGAAGTGGAGCAAAGGAAACACTGGGCTGAACACTTCAAAAGACTACTAAACCGACCGCCACCTACAACGCGCCCAACAATACCAACAACGGAAGCAGAATTACCAGTGAACATCAACCCCCCGACGAAATCAGAAGTCCTGAAGGTAATCAAGATGCTGAAAGCTGGGAAAGCAGCAGGACCAGATGGAATCCCAGCAGAAGCATTGAAAGTCGACCCAGAGACAACAGCAGACTTGATGACGCCACTACTAGAGAAGGTGTGGAAAGAAGGCAAAGTACCCGAGGATTGGAAGAAAGGATACCTATTCAAACTACCAAAGAAAGGAGACCTAAGTTAATGCAAGAACTGGCGCGGAATTATGCTCCTGTCCATCCAAAGCAAAATACTAAGCCGCATCATCCTGTAAGAGAATAAACAAGCCTTGGATGAAAAACTTCGACCAGAACAAGCTGGATTCAGGAGTAACAAGTCATGTATTGATCAAATCGCCACACTACGGATCATCATTGAACAAAGTTTGGAATGGCAGTCACCTCTCTATCTCAACTTCATCGATTTTGAGAAAGCCTTCGACAGCGTCGACCGAGAGGTGATTTGGCAACTACTTCGCTACTACGGGGTGCCGCCGACAATTATACATCTCATCCAACAGTTGTATGACAATGCTGCATGCCAAGTAATCCACAACGGGAAGCTCACGGAATCCTTCGAAGTGAAGACAGGAGTAAGACAGGGTTGCCTACTATCGCCAATGATTTTCCTGATTGCAGTAGACTGGATAATGCGACAAACAGTGGCGGGCAATGAGGAAACAGGCATAAAATGGACTCACACAAAAACTTGGAGGATCTGGACTTCGCCGATGATATATGTCTGATTCCCCACAAACTGGAAGATATGCAAGTGAAAAGTAACAAGTTGGCAGAAGAAGCATCAAAGATAGGACTCCAGGTGAACATAGAAAAAACAGAGGTGATGAAGATCCCTGGCCAACACCAACAACAATAACAGACAGCAATCAGCATAAATGGAAAAAACCTGAAAGAAACTACCTCCTTCACCTACTTGGGAAGCATTGTTTCAACTACAGGCGGAACTGACGAGGATATCAAAGCAAGGATCGGGAAAGCAAGGCAAGCTTTCATTACTCTGAAGTCTGTGTGGAGGACAACATCATTCAGCGTCAAAAATAAGATCGGGATTTTCAACTCCAATGTGAAGTCAGTACTACTATACGGATCAGAGACTTGGCGTGTCACAAAGAGCACCTCAAACAAGCTACAGACCTTCATTAACAGATGTCTTCGCTCAATACTCAAGATCAGATGGCCGGAAAGGATCAGCAACAAAGATCTCTGGGAGCGAACCAACCAGGAACCCATTGTGAAACAAATAGGCAGGAAAAAATGGAGATGGATTGGCCACACTCTGAGGAAACCAGCAAGTGACATCACTAGACAAGCCCTCGAGTGGAACCCGAAAGGGAAGCGGCAAGTTGGTCGTCCAAGGGTGACCTGGAGGAGATCATGTGAAGAGGAGATGAAAGCATGTGGGCAGACCTGGAGCCAGGTGAAAACTCTAGCAGAGAATCGAACGCAATGGAGACGCATGGCTGAAGCCCTATGTTCCTCTAGGAACTAAAGGAAATAATAATAATAATAATTGGTTAACATCGAATCATTAAGATCGATAGATTACAGTTTGAAAGCATTTGTGAGTGATGATGTGTATAAAAATGTGATAGCAAACTGAGTATATCAGATAAATCTTAGACACACCTTCCGGGCGTGTACTACTGACAAGATTTATCAGTAGTATATAAAGAAGTGGAGCAGAGGAGACACTGGGCTGAACACTTCAAAAGACTCCTAAATCGACCACCACCTACAACGCGCCCAACAATACCAACAACGGAAGCAGAATTACCAGTGAACATCAACCCCCCGACGAAATCAGAAGTCCTGAAGGTAATCAAGATGCTGAAAGCTGGGAAAGCAGCAGGACCAGATGGAATCCCAGCAGAAGCATTGAAAGTCGACCCAGAGACAACAGCAGACTTGATGACGCCACTACTAGAGAAGGTGTGGAAAGAAGGCAAAGTACCCGAGGATTGGAAGAAAGGATACCTATTCAAACTACCAAAGAAAGGAGACCTAAGTTAATGCAAGAACTGGCGCGGAATTATGCTCCTGTCCATCCAAAGCAAAATACTAAGCCGCATCATCCTGTAAGAGAATAAACAAGCCTTGGATGAAAAACTTCGACCAGAACAAGCTGGATTCAGGAGTAACAAGTCATGCATTGATCAACCCGCCACATTACGGATCATCATTGAACAAAGCTTGGAATGGCAGTCACCTATCTATCTCAACTCCATCGACTTTGAAAAGGCCTTCGACAGCGTCGACCGAGGGGTACTTTGGCAACTAATTCGCTACTGTGGGGTGCCACCGACAATTATACATCTCATCCAACAGTTGTATGACAATGCTGCATGCCAAGTAATCCACAACGGGAAACTTACGGAATCCTTCGAAGTGAGGACAGGAGTAAGACAAGCTGGCTGCCTACTATCACCAATGATTTTCCTGATTGCAGTAGACTAGATAATGCGACAAACAGTGGCGGGCAATGAGGAAACAGGCATAAAATGGACTCACACAAAAACTTGGAGGATCTGGACTTCGCCGATGATATATGTCTGATTTCCCACAAACTGGAAGATATGCAAGCGAGGAGCAACAAGTTGGCAGAAGAAGCACCAAAGATAGGAACGACTTCAGGTGAACATAGAGAAAACAGAAGTGATGAAGATTCCTGGACAAGAACAACAACAACAACAGACAACGATCAGCATAAATGGGAGGAACCTGAAAGAAACAACCTCTTTTACCGACCTGGGAAGCATCGTTTAGACTACAGGCAAACGGAACTGACGAGGATATCAAAGCAAGAATCGGAAAAGTAAGACAAGCTTTCACTACTCTCAAGTCTGTGTTGGAGGTCAACAGCACTCTGCGTCAAAACGAAGATAAGATCCGGATTTTCAACTCCAATGTGAAGTCAGTGCCACTTACTATACGGATCAGAGACTTGGCGCGTCATAAACAGCATCTCAAACAAACTACAGACCTTCATTAACAGTTGTCTACGCTCAATACTACTCAAGATCAAATGGCCAGAAAAGATCAGCAACAGAGTTGGATCTCTGGCAATGAGCGAACCAACACAGCAGGAACGTATTGTGAAACAAATAGGCAGGCTGCTCTCCTTTACATAGCATGCTTCACATTCTGAACACTTTATCCTATAGACACATTTGTTTTGTGCCATTTTGGGAACCATATCTTTGACATTCACCAAAGCATTCTCTAGAGAATTACAGGGCTTAAAATAATAGACCTTAGTATTATATGAAGCAAGTAGTCTTTGAAGTTGTTCAGCTGTCTCCTTTCCATATGGAATGACTATTGTTGATAGGTAAGATTTTTCAATTTTATGTTTTCCCTTCTGCTCCTTTTTATTGATTATATTATCTAGTAGCTTCTCCAGATAACCATTTCCAATCAAAATCTGTTTTATATTGGATATCTCGTTCTCCATATCATCATTATCTGTTATATCTGTTAAAGCTACTGAAACTTTCATTCCTATTGGATGATCTGATTGGAAATTCAATTACTTGTTGGAATGTGTCGGCTTTCTGTATATGGTTAACTTTAGTTTCGCGTTAGTTTGTCTTTTTACAAGACAATCAAGGAAGTTTAGAGTTTCCTCAGCCGATTCTGTTTCGTTCGTAAACTCTATATATCTTGGGATTAGGGTTAATATGGGTTATAAAGTTTTTTTCTTCTGCTTTCTTAATGATGATAAATGTGTCATCTACATACTTATCTGTGCAATATTCTAGGATGACAACTAAAACTTGTCAGTGCTTTCTTTTCTAGGGCTTTCATACAAAAGGTTAGCTACAATTGGAGATGTTGGTGATCCCACTGCAATTCCATTTGTTTGACAGTGTAATTTATCTTTAAAGGTAAAGTAGGTAGATTCTAAACCAAATTTTGAGCAGCTTATAACGAACACAATACTCTTCTAACTATTATGGATGTATATAACTGTAGAACCTGATGAAGAATTGGAAATTATCGAAAAGAATGGCGGTCCTTGTTCACTACTACTGTTACGACAGAAGACAAGGGCCAGACAACAGATTGTTTATTGTAAAAATCAACAGATATTTATAGATTTTTATGTACATTATTATTAGCGTTGTTGTTAGCAGAGAAGCAACCAACGTCTTCTGATTGGTTGTTTTCTCGCTGAAGGTTACTCTGTACTGCTTGTGACCGTTTCTTAGAAAGTTAAGCTATATATCTGCGAATCGTATTTGCACACGTTGAGTGTGGTGTAATTGGTTGTTAAGTTCCTCAAGGTTAAGCCTTGTTATTGTTTATTTCTCATGACCCCGATTAGGGACGTAAACATTGACGTAAATTGCTGTGTACCAATTTTGGCCTGCGGACAGGTCTCACCACAATACTAGTAGTAGTCAGAGTCTTTTAAAATGTTTCTAATAGGCACCTTCAATTTATTAATCAATTCATCCAGTGAAAAGTCGTACCCAGAGGAGTCATCCAAGTCAGGCAAGTGAATTGTTACTCGGTTATAGAATTGGATAGAGGTAGATATATATGTTTAAGCCAAGTTCACTTTTAACAGTTTGAAAAAATTTGGGCATTTGGGTATATCATATTCATCATTATAAAAGCTTTTGTATTTCCCTTTGAGTGAGCAACAAAACGATACTGTCGTGGTTTTTACTGACGTTTCGCCACTTAATGCTGCCGCTAATAGCTTTATCAAAGTGGTATTATTAAAGCAAATTTACAAAATCTCAGCCTATATATAACAAATTTGAGAAGCGTTCATCAACAAGGGGCAATTTTCGCGTTGTCAAGTTGTTGAATTGGTAAAGATAACAAAACCAGGTGTAGATTGTTGGATTGAATAAGTGTTTAAAATTATAAAAGCAGTGTGTGTTTACATAATGAAATAGCTTATGACATTCGGGTTGATTTTGTAGCTTCATCATGAAAGGGAGGGGCTGCAACCAGGTGAAATTCTGTTTTAATCCATCATTCCTATTCAGACAATTTGGATCCCAATTTTGATATGAAGTGATACTGATAATCCTAGACGCTCTTTGTGATTTCTGAAATTTTTCTGGATGATGATTTCAATATTGTCGAAATCAATTTTCTGACCTGGTTCTACAGCGTGTAGATGAACTATGGCTAGCTGGTGATTTTTCAAGCTTTTCTAGTTCATTAACTGGATTTCTCGGTGGTCGAACAGATGCTCTACAGTGTTCATTTCTTCTGATTACCTTGATTTCTCTCTGGTGATGTTTGTCCGATGTATATCGCATCACACATTCCAAGCATTTTGTTTTATAGACACAATTAGATACAGTATCCTTATTGATTTGGTCTTTTATCTGGACAAAGTTGCTTCGCAGTGTGAATACGATGTTTTGAAGAAAACTTTGATGTTGTGCTTATTGAGTACTCTTCTGATATCGTCTGACGTCTCTGCTCTGTATGGAATGACAACTATTGAGGCCCATATCATCGGAATATGTTCTCCATCATGGAGGTTTTGTCAGAAGTCGGAATTCATGTGCTGGCTATAGGATCAGTTCTCAAAAAGACTGAATCATCTACAAACTCTCCTTGTTACCGGAGGATCCTAGGTTCGGACCTTAGTGGTGAGTGAGTACTGCTAAAGTGTCCGGTTACTATGACGAAACAACTGTCCAATGGTTCTTCTCTAACTGAAGTCAACTCAACAATAATAAGTTCTAACTGGCAGATTATCGAGCCAGTTTATAGTTTCACACAAGAACAAATTACCTTCCAATGAACTTTTGGCGCCGGATTTCCATCAACAAGACAGACAAATAGAACAGATTGACCAACAATAGTTGTTGCTGATTTTGGTTCTTCAATAATTTGTGGTTTTTCTAATGTTTCAAAGTAAAAACGAGAAATAAAAGAGGAATAAATAGTTATTGAAACATTTGAGAAATCTGTATGTCTTTAAATGAATACAAATTTTCAAAAATAAAATGAGCGGTTTTTTCGAATTAATGGGCTACCTCAATTTTATGAGTATCCATTCAAATATCATGTATCGAATTTTCTTCCCAATTTTTTAAATTATTCTTTAAATCATTGAGTTATGATATTTTTTAGTCGTGAAATGTACTCACTCACAATTTCAAGTGGCTTTCTCTAAAGAAGTGATAGAAAAATATGTTGTAAGGGATTAGTTGCTGCTTTAAATCGAATGGCATTGCGTCACATGATATATATTCAACATAGATTTTATATTTTGCCTGGAGATCCTGGCTAGGAATTCTGTATGTAATGTAAACATTTTTTGCCAGAATAGAGCTGTTATAAAGATTATAATTGTTATTGACTGGCGACTGTCGCCTAACTTGACTAGAAGGTGTCTCCAGAACACCACGACACTATAACTCAGTGATCATTTGAAAATATCACCCACACAAGGTTCAGACCGGGAAAAGCGACAATCTTTATTAGACAAAAGATGGGAAATATATCACAGGTCCAAAACATCAGAAATTTAAGCCATAAATAAACCAATCAAAACTGTTCAATAAGGTTAGTGTGTCAGTATACGGCATAAATGGCGACTTCACGGCTAACACACAACTATTATTTCAGTTAGTCTGTTTTCAGTTGGTTCGACAGCCATGCATGCATATGGTTCGGATTTTATTCCTTACAGATGGAGGTAGTCATAAACCTCTTCGAGTTTACCAGAGTAGAAGTAAACTCAGGGAAAGACGGGGATATTGAGTGCATCACTGGCAACCTCACTTTATTGCTGCAACTTCAAAGCTTGGTGCTTTTGGGCTTTATGTTCCACTTGGATCGCAAACCAGCAGCTGTTTTTTACACAGACAATTTGTCTTATTGGGAAGCGTTCCGACGTCAGAAAGCAGTAATCCCTACAAAAACGGTGCTCAACAACAGACAGCAATCAGCATAAATGGGAGGAACCTTAAAGAAACAACCTCTTTTACCTACCCACCTGGGAAGCAACTACAGGCGAACGGAAATGACCAGGATATCAAAGCAAGAATCGGGAAGGCAAGACAAGCTTTCACTACTCTCAACTCTGTGTGGAGGTCAACAGCACTCAGCATCAAAAATAAGATCCGGATTTTCAACTCCAATGTGAAGTCAGTCAGTGCTACTATACGGATCAGAGACTTGGCCAGCGCGTCATAAAAAGCATCTCAAACAAACTACAGATTTTCATTAACAGCTAGCTGTCTTCGCTCAATACTCAAGATCAGATGGCCAGAAAAGATCAGCAACAGAGAGGGATCTCTGGCAATGACCGAACCAACTCATCAGGAACCGATTGTGAAACGAATAGGCAGGAAGAAATGGAGATGGATTGGCCATACTCTGAGGAAACAAACCATCAAGTGAGTGACATCACTAGACAAGCCATTGCTCGAGTGGAACCCGGCCGAAAGGGAAGCGGCGAGTCGGTCATCAGTGCAATGGTGAAAGTGACTTGGAGGAGGTCATGTGAAGAGGAGATGAAAATGTGTGAGCAGACATGGAGCCAGGTGAAGACTCTAGCAGAGAACCGAACGCAATGGAGACGCACGGCTGAAGCCCTATGTTCCTCTAGGAATTAAAGGATACAATAATAAAATTTTTTTCGATTCTTTTACGTTCCCAGTGGAACATAGGGTGCCTTCAAGCTACAGCTTTAACGTTTCAGTAGCAGTGGGGTGTTTATTTTAACGGGATGGGTTGGTAGTCTCATGCCTAACCTTCCCTTTTTACCAGTCTTATTACTAGGTTGGCGAGGTAAACGAGTGAGTCGACAAAGTACCGAATTCCGAACCACCTGCGTGTCTGGTGAGCATTCTAACCGTGTGTCGCCAACGCACAAGGAGCTCGAACCCAGGAGCTTCTGGTTACAAGGTGAGAGAGCTCATAGACAGTTAAGCCACTGGGGCCCAGTGCATATATATATATATATTTCTGAGTTGTTACACTTGACAAAATTTCACAAATTGCATTTCATAAGCCCCTGATATGAATGTGTGTGTATGTGTGTAAACGAATTTGAAAAACGTAAGTGATTATTAACTGGTGTTATAAAACACCTTTGAGGTCAGTGAGGTCCTCATTAGTGAGTAGCAGATTTAAGATGAATATACCCCGAAATTTTTCACTGAGTCTCATCAGGTTGATTATGAAGGCGTTGAAGAGTAGTGGCGTCACATTCCGAATTGACATACATATCCACTTATCTGTCCTCATAACTTAAAGGTCCTTGATTCGTTCCCTGGTGGGTTGGGGTCAACGATGCATTTTACCTCAGACTTTCATATTAGAGGACTAGTTCTCAATCTTTCTCAAAATGATCTCACTTGAGATTGATCAAACCCAAAATCTACAAACCAACTCCTGAAAATTAATCTAGTGCCCACTAGTGAGTGATTTCACAATGAGGTGAGTTCTAGTAAGAAATCGTGAGCTTTTGAGTCGACATGCCGAGTATGTTGAAAAATATTCACCGATGAGATTGGTTTCGTGGTTGTGCTATGTATCACGAATTCCGTCTCACTGACTAGATGATGTGTTCTTCTTGTAGGCGAAAGATTTTTGATTCGGTCCTCAGTGGCGCGATGATGAGTGATTTAAGAAGTCCAAAACTAGGAAGAAACAGACTTCTAGTACTCTCTGGGGGGCTATTCACTCCTTCTCAAACTAAAGTCATTCAAATTGTTACCTAACTTGAATCCCATAGAATCCTTGCTAATCAATACCTGAGGATCTTCAAATCTTGTGATTTGATTTAGTTACAGGGTTTGTCATGAGCTGACATCAGTTGAAGAACCACTGAAGGACCAGCAGGAAGTGCTGTGCACTTGTTTGTTTCTAGTTTGGGGCTTCTCGGCAGTATTCACTACCACCACTAGGGCTCGAACTGAGGAACTTCTGCTTACGAGACAAGCTCGTAGACCGACCATTCAGCCACTCGGAGGCATTCCAGAGGAAGTGTAGTAAGAAATCGTGACCAGTATGGTCCAAAACGTCGGGTAAGAGAACAGTTAGTCTGCAGTTAAACTGGCTGGCGGTTGGAGGATTTCATCATAAGCTGACATCAGTTAGAGAACCATTGGAAAATCTGTAGGGAGTATTGGACAGCTGCTTCGTCAGCCAAGTTTGCGACTCTTCGCAGTAGGCATCTATCATCAGGGTTCGAATCCAGCACTTTCTGGTTACTAGGCTAGTGAGCTCGTAGACCATTAAACCACTCACTGGGACTCAACCGATCCAATGGCCAGCCAGTTCATGAATCCTAACTTCTACCAGTTCACGCACGACATATCGCGACCACTTCGCAATGTCTTCTTCGATGAGTTACTGCCTCACCTTCAACCAGCTGCAACATACTGGTCACGGATTCTCACTAGAACCTCAGGTTAACTGCCTGAATAGGGCCAGTCGCTAGCTAGTGAGCATCAGATCGTTTTTCAAGTATCGGTTTTTGTAGGGATTTTTTTCATTTGATTGATTGGAGGGTTTCATCATGAGCTGACATCATTTAGAGAACCAGTACTCCAGTACGGCTGGTTTTCCAATGGCTCTCTAACTGATGTCAGCTCATGATGAAATCCTCCAACCAATCAAACGAACAAAATCCCTACAAAACCACTACTTGATATATATATTTCTCTATTGTGGATTGGAAGAGGTTGGAATTCATATACGATTGGATTGTGTCCCAGTGACTGAATCCTCTACTAGCTCTCATCGTAACCTGTACGCATTAAGTTCGAACCTCAATGGGTACTTACTGCTGAAGAGTTCCAAATAAGGACAAACCACAACAAAACGATGTCGGCTAGTATTTCTTTTCTTATAGTCATCAAATAACTGAACGGCGAATGCTCTTTCCTACCTACCTACCTACTAACTATTTCACCTTTCATCTCTTTCTCTCTCTCCCTTTGTCTCTGTCTATCTCGCTGTATCTATCCACATCTGCCTGTCTCTCATGCGTATTAAGACAGAGAGAAGAAAGCAAATAAGAAGATTAAAAAAATCGTTCAGTTTTAGTATGTATTACGTGATGTTTAATGTTTCATCATTAAAACTGATTTCATTCACTCTCTCTCTCCCTGTCTCTGTTTTGCTCCCCTTACGTGATGACGTAATCCATCCATTCAATCACTCTTGAGAAAATTTATTATTATTTTTTCTTAACATATGGCAATTAATTCATTAATTCAACAAGGAAAAATGAAACAAGAAAAGAGGAGAGAAAACTCTCGATGTGCTCGTTCATTCTCCTTCTCCTCTTTCTGTTTTCTCCTGTAGTTTATACCCCCTTCCCTGCTGCCTCCTCCTTCACGAGTTTCTTCTCCGTTTCTTACTTTGCATGTTGATGATGAGAAGAAGTGTTTTTTCTCCTCGTTGAATTGAATTGAAGTGAATTTATGTTTGTTAGGGTTGTTTAGTTGATTGTAAAAGCTGCCTGGAAAGCAACTATGATTAAGAAGGATAAAGTAATTCGTCTTTTTTCTACTATCCCGCCAGCTATCCACTTATCTACCTTAACACTGAAAGCTTTATTCGGGTGTATTGAAGAAAGTTGTAAGAAAGTGGACGAGAGCACGTTAAAGCATTATTATTATATTATTATTGTTCTCTTGAGTTCCGAGTGGAACATGGAACTTCAATAACTCATCTCCACTTTGTCCTATTTTCTGCTTTCCTCTTCAGCTGGCTGGCTCCACGACTACTGTCCATTATCGGTTGTCTCCTCCTCCTCCTGTCCACATGATGTCTTCCATGTCATCCTCGCACCGACTTTAAGCTTGTCACTTCCCACTCTATTGGGATCCCCCGTCGAGTGATTACCTGCACTGTGCGCGATGTCATTCGACGGCCTCCT